TATATTATATTATACAAAATAGTCTAATAAACGAGAGGAAAATTTTGAAATTATAACTATAAATTAACTATTTATGTATGTATATATGTATGGATTTTAATGTCATTGACCAAATTTTTTTATCGGTAAATTATAAAGAGCTAAAACAGATTTTTCCTTTTACATTAATGACATGGTGAACATTTAAGAAGATTGTGGGCAGCACACCTCAGTTCTGTATTTTTCTGTTTGCTTAGGCCGGGGCCACACGACGCGGATCATCCGCGCGGACGGACCACGCGGATGATCCGCGTGGTGCGACAACACATTGAATCAAATGAGGGTGGCCACACGGGGCGATCCTAAGCCGCCTGGGCGGATTGTCCGCGCCATGTCGCGGATTGTCCGCGCGATCATAAGCCGCGTTGGAGGGGATGACACATGTAGTCATATGAGAGTGGCCACACGATACGGATTGTCCGCGCGGTTGGAGCTCATTTTCAAGCATTTGTAGTGTTTTCTTTTTTAGTTTGTGCTTGTGCATTTCGGTTTATAGGTGTAAAATGTTCGATACAGACAAATCAATAGAACTTGTTAAAGATAATTTGTGATTTCTCATGTTGTACATTTCTCATGAGTATAATCTTCCTTAGTTATATGCGGTCAAAGCAATTGAAGTAGCTCGTCAAACTATGCTATCTACATGCGATAGCAACAAAAAAAGACTCCGAACTATGGTTTCGCATGTGCTCGTAAAAGGTTTGGAACACATACTAATATACTACCTATCTAATATACTAATATACTAATATATTTAAATTTATTTTAAATAAATTTTTGTTATGTTATGGTTTATCGGTTATGAAATGATGGACCCAATGATTTTGGTTTGCCTTAGGCTCTAGCTCACCACACGCTTCTAATGCACAAACTAACATACGTGTTTCTTCCACGACTACAACGAGAACGAGTGAATTAAACCATGTTAGAATCTCAGTACGTAGGCTGGGAAACCTCAACCGGAAGCGGTTCATCCGCTCCGTGTGGCCGGGACATCGTCGCGCGGCTTATGATCGTACGATCATAAGCCGCGCGGACGATCCGCCACGTGTGGCCCCGGCCTTATGGACTTTTTGTGCCTAAAACTTGGAATACCGATAAAGTAGGCTAGGCGAGGTGTCTTTATTGAATTGATGAACATTTTAAAGTTATGATATTCGCAAGTAATAAGTCAAGAGTTGGAGTACCTACATGCATTAGGTAAACAAAAACAACATTTTTTATAAAATGATTACGTTTGGATCTCTGCCAAATCCCATGTAAGCATATGATCTATTTGGCATATGGTTTATTATGGTCTCATTTATCCTCATCTGGCATATGCTGTTGCAATTTGGGGATTTGAGAGCAAACAAACCAAATTTATTTTCAAAATCCAAAAGATGGCTGTGAGAACTATTTTCTCCTTGCGTAAGCGTCAATCCTGCAGAGAGTACTTTTTCAATTAAAAAATCTTGACTTTTCCCTCCATCTACATTCTAGAAACTTTGACCTTTTTGAAACAAAACTTTCCTGAATTTGACTTCTCTACTAAGAATCAATACACATTGCGCAATTCATTTAACTTGCCAATTCCTAAACACAAAACTTATTTTTTCAAAAAAAAAACACACAATGTACATTGGCATAAAGCTTTTCAAATCACTTCCATTATCCCTTAAGTTGGAACTAAGCCTTTCAAAATTCAAAAAACAATTAAAACATAAATTGCTAAGTATAACCTGTTATAGCGTCCAAGATTTCCTGAAATGTTTTGAAAGCTCTAATTTGCAATTATTATTGTAAATATTAGAATTAGTAATTGATGTATAGTATAGTATATTTGCACTGACCTGGCTAATGCAAACTGTATAATTGTTAATTTGGCCCAATAAAATGATTTGATTTGATTTGATTTGATGTAGGCTACACATAGGCCTCAAAAATCTTAGTGCATAGGGTTTTGAGTCTTACAGGACGAATAACCCATTCATTATGTTATTTATGAAACATATTTACAACAACACAACGCATCAAGGTAAAGAACGGTTCACACATTATTAAAATGATCATATCACATGTACGCTACTTCCCTGTCTAAAACATTTAAGGAAAACTATGGCAATATAGGGTGCCTACTCAAGATTTCTGACATTAAAAACAATTGATATAGATAATGATTTACCATGCAAAACAATTCAATGTTATATGATAAAATGGTTATTGCTATATGATAAAATAGGTTAAATTAAGTATACTTTTGGATAACTGTAGAATCAGGCATTTACATTTTCTTACAGCACTTTGGACTGTAAAAAATATACAACGACCAGTTATAATAATAAATGAAAATTGTAAGAGCAATAAACGATGTGAAAGGCGCAATGACAAAACTGTATCACTTGCTACCTATAGGTTTTTTGTGTTACACACACACACAAGTTATAAATATATAATCTTTATTTTCTAGGAATGCATGTAAATTAAACCTGCAGAAAAACGTATGCTCGCTTGAATTATCACTGATTTAATGTTGTTGGAAAATTATACTTTTACTTGAATTATTGTGTTTTTTTCTTGTTCTGCCAAAACAAACATACTGTAGGCCTAGTTGACTCCTACGGTGATCCTAGGAAGTAAATAATACTAAGTTATGTGATAAGATATCATTATAAGACCGAGGATAATAAAAAAAAAACACTGAACAGCGGTCTTTCTACTACTCCTTGTGTAAAGCATGCAAAAGTTCCGTACTGTCCAAATCTAATGCATTGCTATTTTCAAACTAAAAAAAAGTTTCGCATTGGCTAGAATAAGAACAGTTTATCGAGTTCAATTGTTATGATTAAATTGTCAATTGCAATGTTCAATTTTTAAATTATCACAGAGTAGCCTACATAGTTAGTGCCATGCGCTAAAAAAGTATTATGGGCTACAAATAACAAAACTTTGACGGGAGAATAATAAAAACAATTCTTTAGGTAAATTTAACAACCGTTAAACTTCACTTAATTATTTGTTCATATAACTAAATACAACCATAAAAGTATCCACAACTGTTTTTCAAAAAAAAATTTCAAGATGGCGAATTTTATTAATCGCTGTAAAATAATTTGTAAGAATATACCTAATTATTTATTAAGCCTACCCTGCATAATTTTATAAAATAACCACTGCAGTTATTATATCAATACAATGAGCAGTATATCAAAAGTAGTTAATCTATTTACTTATTTATTTATTTACTTACTTTACCTAGTTAATATCGAAGTTCATCATTCAATTTGATGAACTTCGAAGAAAAATCGGGACTTGACTTAATCCGACCAATAAAAAAAAATACCAAAATAATCCTAACCATAACACGACTTACATTATTAACTACAGAAATAATCGTTTTTATAAAAATGAGTCAAACCTAAGTCAACATTATTAGTTGATCTACTCTACTATACTCTGGATCCAATATTTCCTCTAGTTTACCAGCCTATTTTTGCTTGTTATTTAGTTAAACTAAAACCTGGACACTGTCAAACGTCGTAATACCTCGATATTTTTGTTGTGCCCTCCGCAAAAGTTGTCTGATACAAGAAGAGCTCGCAGCTATATGCCGGAGTGCCGCGCGCTGGCCGACCGCCCCGCTCTCTTATCAGTGTCAGGGGCCCTTATCACTCTGTTATCACCAACTTTATCACTAGCTAGCATCACTACATATGTTCTGTCATCACTCTGATCTGCCACATTGGCTGCATAGTGCTGTTATTAGCGACGGGCTTTTCGAGGAAAGCAAAATTCTAAATCTTTAATCGATTTTCCTTGTTATTCAATGTATTACAAATCAAATTTAACTATGTTCAAATGAAAAAATGGGCGAATTAAAAATAACATAAAACGCTAGAGTAAATTTTTGTCAAGGTGACATTGAATTTATTAAAGCTTTAACAGTGGCATGTATAAGCATATCACGATTAGGTACACGCCCAGTGTAAGATATGTAAAGTTAACAACACTAGCACTAGACTGTAAGAAAAACACTCATTTAGGTATTTGATTAAAGAGTAATCTCGGTTAGGAATTTTATTTTGGAAGTTTTAGTAAGCAAGAGTTGACGTAATTAAAACTCTACCAAAAAACAATTCAGACTGGAAATAATTTCCAGCCGCCAAGGAGAAGGCCGGATTAATACGTCAGAATGACGAAAGAAGTTAGTTCTGCTGTCAGGTTTACAATTAAAACTGTCTCAGAACTGACAGAAGACAGACAGACAGTCTGTCGGACGGACGGACGGGAAGCAATTGTCTTATTGTGATACTCGTCAACTGTCAGTCAAGCTGCTCGAGACTCTAGAGACGCGCAAAACAATTCCTCCTTCCATCCTCCGCTTATCAAACCTTAACATTACAGTAACTGACGCTTTACGAACGGGTATTTCCATTTACTCTGACGTTATAGTTTACGAATAATGTTGATGAATATTAGTTTCAATATAGTTACAAAATTAAATAGCACAATGGAAAATAACATATTATTTATTACAAGGATTGTTTTTACAATTTAAGGATGAATAATTTCGTGATAAATATTTTCAAGTTTCTTTCAATTTTGATAGCTTTAATTCACTATTTACCAAACGCGTATTGCCTGGCATGTGAAACAAATTATAATCTATCTATAAATGTATTTAAGATTAAAAGAGAGGAATCGGTTGTCAAAAGGAAATATTGGGTCTAAACTATTTGATCGTAGTCAGATCTGATTCCCAGTATGGAATTACAAGGAATTTACACCGTAATTAAAATGTTGACAGCGTGGACGACTTCTGAAGTAATCCAAACTCAAGCCTCTTATCGACACGACTGGCAGATAAACAAAATAAAACCATACTTCCTCACACATAACACATCGATGATACACTAATTCCAAAAACGTCGGACACGTGAAAAACACTTTGCACAAACTTGCTAACTTCCACTAGAACTCACATTTCATTCGCTTGGGGCAATTCTGTTTCCTCCTAGTCATGGTGCGGAGGGCCGAGGATATCTCGTAGGCTGCCAGCCCGCGTCACATCAACTCACTTGTGTCACATACACTCAACACGAGATATATCGTAGTTATGTCCTGCGACAGCGATGTAGTCACTACGAAGGACTCAGAGAGACTGACGCGGCCGTCGTTCACGCTCGCCCCTCCCGCGCGCACTCTGCCGGCCCATCTGTCAACCGCGCGTCACTGCCGGCCGCCGGCATACCCGAGCTCCCGAAATCCTACGTCGTCAGGAGCTAAACACCGGCGTTCTAGTGAAACCTCATGGTCTGTGACGTCACGACAGGTGGGCGTGGCTTCTCCGCTAAGCTCCGCCCCTACACCGTCGCGCACGTTGCTCCCCCTCCACCCGACCTTGTTTATGTCTCGTTCAAGCCGCCCGCAACTCATACTACAGCGCTGCGAAAGTGTTCCGCGGTTTTTTGTTCGGTTTCGAGTGTATATTGTGCATTGACCTCGGATATTGTCACCATACTGAGTAAGTACATATGGCCTCTTATTTTAAGTTCGAATATGACCATTATATGTGGTATAAGTCAGTGAAAAGAGCAGACAAATACTTTAGACTCGTCGACATCAGAACCAGCCCCGTGAACCATCATGGCCACCGTACTGAGACTGCCGCCTTCGTTCTTCACTTTAGTTGCTCGGGGGTTTCGAATGTTTCAACGTTCGTTCGTACCATGCTTATATGATTAGTTTGGTGTTCTCTGACGTAGCTGTCAATCACTTTCTCATCGGTGCATCATAATTCTCTCAATTTGAGGTTATTTCCACGCGCAGCTGCGGCGCGCACTACAATTATCGACTCCTAGCGGCAGACTCGTGATTTACGACGTGTTTCCCCGCTGCGCCGCGAGAGTGCAGCAGTGACCGGCAGCCCAGGAGTGAGTGAGAGGGGGATCAAGCGACTCCCCGTTACCGCTGTACTGCTATCAGTGTATTAGACTCGTACGAGAAAACAAAGAAGTTATTACAGTACGTCGATCTACGGAGCTCGTCATAACTCTCCGCAATTTATGGGCTTCTCGTTACTCGCGCTCATTAACGTGTCACAAGTGAAAAGATAAATCAATCAAGAGATATTTCGGTGCGCGGCTCGATCGCATTCCGCTAATGTAGGATGCTAATTTATTTCCGTAATTACTAATAACGTTTGCATTTTATTGTCCGCCGCGCCACTCACGATTTGTCCTCCTCTCCGCTATTTATCGGCGTTGTTCGTTTCAATTATTGGCGATTAATATGAAAATTCTGCACTCGGCCACTAAAATATCGGCTGGGTAGGTCGAATCACGCTCTCTTAAACTTTCAAACCACTTACAGAGATAGGTTCGTTATTTATTCTCAGGAATTCTCCCGGTACGTCTGTGTCCATGTTTGATAATCGAACGAGCTTTTTGTTATGCAATAGACAGGTTTTAGATGTCTCAAAGTTGGAAATCAACCATACAGCGAATGAGATGGAAATCCCTATGCGTCTCTGAATTTACTGTTTAGCAGTACCTTATATTATACAACTAATAATGATAAAACTAGGTGAAACCCGTCGAAATCGACGGTACTTTCAAGGCTTACGCTAATTCATCTAACTGCGATAAATTGAGTGAAATTATACATATTTTGAGCATTTAGCATTGTTTAAAGGCTAATAAGTGTAAGAGTTATTATTAGTATGTTATCTGGTATCTCTTCCTTTGGAAGAACCATTAAATAGTATTAAAATAGTATTGGTGGATCTTTTGTAGTCAAACAATTCCGCGATTTCATCAGTGTAATGTAGATTAATCTATGATTTTATTTGGAATATATATATATATATATATATATATATATCTGTTTGTTGGGAAGACACGTTCTAACTTCAAAGGGAGGTATATCCGTTAACAGTGTAAGTTTGATTTTTCCTTCGTCACGTCACGTCAGTTTCTGTGCTAATGAATAACCCTCTAGCACAGTTTTGAGAAATTGGTTGTGGGGTTACTGTTAAAGCTGGAATTCCTTGACATGGGGGATGTCAGTTAGTTGTCTCAGCCTGATCAATAACATAAAGTTAAAGTTGTCAAAATAATCTCTCTAAGGAATGTTAGGTGTAGTGGAATACTTGAAGTGAAGTTAGCTTTTATTCTTGAACTGTTAGGGGCCTCCTCATTTATATGGTCTTGGTGGCTTCATTGGCAACAAATAATGCAAATGACATAGCAATGGGACATTTCCAAAAAGCAAAAATACTGTAAATTGGCTGTTATGTTGCTATATTACAAACATAATTACATACAAAGCTCATATGTAGATGAAATATGTAGATGAATGTAGATGAAGTAATATAATTATATTACTTCATCTATGCTACTACTCTGTATCTATACTTGAAACAACGGCAATTGATAATTTGTAAATGTCTGTAAAACAATCTACTCTGTCAATATGAAGAACAGATATTGATCTGTGTATTCAGTTGTCTTTCACTGTGCGTATACATGGGTACGATGTTTACTACCATAGTTGGCAATCATGATAAATACAATCAATAACTCAACGTTTTATCTCCAGCTTTCTATGATGAGTCGAGTCAATGTTGAACTTTATTATGTTTTTGTAGCGTGACAAATTTATATTAAAGCAAAAAGTCTGATAAACAAAATACAAAATTAAAATATTCATAATCCTCAAACCATTCCTTAAGTTACTTCCAACAGAGATAAAATTCCAGGTTTGCTATATTTTAGCCACTCTACAAGTAATTTAAACTGATTACAACAGCTTTAAGAAGATATTTATAACCTTGAGGGTGGTGTCATTTTAATGTGTAAATGGCAAATTTAATTGACGAAAAGATTATGTAGAAGGTTAATAGAAAGTTGAGATAATGTGATAGAGGTTTATACAATCTATATATATAATACGCTAAGCCGATTTTTGTGAACAGAACTCCTCCCTCATTTTTGGACCGATTTTAATGATTAAAGTGTCAAAAAAATGGCCCTGATCTGTAGTTTTGCAAAGTGTTTTTCATTTTTTTTAATCTTTATTAGTTTGGACAGGATCTTCAATCAAAGTTGAGTTTTCTCCCATAAGATTAACATGGGGGAATCTAAATATTTAATTGGAAACTATGTCTCCACTAATTTGAGAGAATGGCTGGGCGTAGAAACTTGGTAGAGGTGTCCAAAGAAAGGTCTTGGTCTGTAGATGAGTTATCAAAAGAAAAACTAAGTAAATTCCCTTAGGGCTCTGCCCCAGAAGCCTTTAAAGATCCCTCCACAGATTTGTTTACATGTTGGCCATGTGGATAATACTTTTTAATGAAACAGCTGTTAATTTTTAAATTGTATTTTAAACAACACACATTTATTTGGAGTTACTGAATTGTCCAAAAGAAGTATTTGCAATGTTATTTTCTGATTTTAAAATTGATTTTCTTCTGTATCATGTCATGTTTTGCAATATAACGTTCCATTACAAAATCAGTGGAAAATCCTATCACAGTAACTCTTACAGTTATTTCTTATTCAACTATCTTATATCTATTTTACTGGTTGGTGTCTGCCTTTTTCACTACTTTTCTTTTGCCTATATTTTATCATATTATTCTAGACAGATCATCATAGCATCTATGGTAGTAGTGTGGTTGTAGATACAGGTTCTATCCTATCATTACACTGTTGTAGTCATCTTATATCACTTGATCGCGAGATAATGGATCTCTTTTTAAACTAGCTTCTAAAAATATATGACATCAAAAAGAAAACAAAGGCTTGTATTTTATAAATTGAATGTTACTCTTCAACCCATAAAAAACTGCTCCACACAGCAAACCTTCCGACTAAGTGAATTTCATTGATCTGGTTGGATTTTTATAAAAATGTTCAAAAGATTGTCAGCATTTTTCTATTTATATAACACTAATTTCAATTGATACTTTGATTTACTGCTACAGGGAAACTAATTAAGTGTTTTTTGTTTTTATTTTTGTTATTGATATGAGCTTTGTATGTATAAAAAAATTGCCAAATGTTATAAAAATATCCCTGAACAAAGCAAACTAGAACAGTTTATACTACAAAAGGCTATACTGTACTTACAAATATTCAAATACCACTCCCTCTTTCATTCACTAAACACTATATCTCAAAATTTACAAGTCATAAGAACTGAGGAATTGGAGTGGAGGTTCCAATTAAGCTCTAGATGTGCTTAATGAAGAAGTGTTTTCAATAAATTCCGTAAGGGCTCTTCCCCAGTGGCCTTTAAAGTTCTCATGTTATCCTCATGGAGAAAAGATTTGTTTACATTTGAACAGATTTTGAGTTTACTTTGAGTTTACAGTTTTGATAGTTTACTATCAATTAAGGGATTAGTTTGCTATAATTGGTTGAAATGAAATATTTTTTTTTAAGTAGGTAGTGTTTTACTGCATAACACTTTTTGTAATATTTAATTTGATTTTAAAAATCAAGATATGTACACTATTTTTGTAAGATATATGTGTCACTGCAATACAATAACAGTTGCCAAAAATATTTACTGTGTTCAGAATATCAATGGCAAAATGACAGTCCTATCACAAAATGATTATTTTTAATGGGTGCTCAAGGGAGAAGATCAGAAGTTCTTGTTAGGTAAAATCCTGTCCATCCTGATTCCTGGTCCATCCCTTCATATAGGCGTATAACAAAGTAACAATTAATTATGCAAATACAGATGATAATCTTGCTATTTAATCCGACATCACTTTTTTTGCATATTATGTAAAAAGCTGTTAAAGTTAATAAACAAACTTTTCATGTTTTAGCATCGACACCTGTAACTGTTTAAGGCCTTTGAGGGTTATAAGAACCGTAATAAAACATAGTGCAAGGTTTTTCTGTTGTTTTATATTTCTTTAGGATACGAAATACTTTAGATACAGCGGGAATACTACTGTGTGCTGTCCAAACACAATGTGGCGGGTTGTTAGAGTGAGTAGTCCGAAGCTGGTGGAAGGAAAGTTAATGTTGTAAATGAAAAAGTCTTCTCATAGTTAACTTTAGTAGTAACTTAAGTTAAAATAACATTATTGATTACAATATTTGATAATAATATCATAAAATTACATGAATAGAATGGATTTAATGTAAATACATTTTATTTTAAAACTATGTCCGTAATGTTTATTATATTATTTTTTATAAGACGAAAACTTTAGCTTTTATGTTTAAATTTTCGTGAGCAAAGCCACGAAGGGTTTAAACTAGTTGTACATAAGAATTAGGTAGGAATTTTAAATTTAAACTTTTGGAATTTTCCTTGTATCCATTAGGCGTATCATCAAGCTTAAATATAC